TTTGCTGCAGGGCTGCACACACAGCTAAATGTCAGAGTTAATGGATATGAAGTCATACAGCTGGAGCTGCTTCCTGTAACACCAGATGGACTGGAGGACTGGTGGACAGGAGACAGGAGGATAGGAGGACAATAGGATAGGAGGACAGAAGGATAGACGGCAGGAAGATAGGAGGCCAGGGGGGACAGAAAACAGTATGTAGGAGGACAGGAGAATAGGAGAAGAGAAGGAGACAGGTGGACAGGTGGACAGGATGACTGTCTCTACTTAACCTTAAATTGATCATTTATATTTAAGTATGTAAATCGTGACCCAGAGAGAAACATCACTTCTGTTTTATCACTGTGAAAACAAACAGTTTGACGGGATAATTAAAAGATGTCCATCTCTGATGGCTGTCCACTGTTAGCAGCCAGCGGGTGGCCAGGACTTCCTGGACTGCGGCTTTTGTGGTTTTGAGCTATGATGTAAATCAATGCTTCAGAACAACATAACAGTTTCTCTGTAAAATAAACATGTTTAATCCTGCAAAACCTTAAACAATTAGATTTTTCTTTTACACTAATTTTCCATTTCACTGATATCAGGTTTTGGGGGTTTTTCATTTTTTTATTCATGTCTGTAATGATGGATAATCTGACCTGAAATTGGTCTGATAACCAAAAAAAAAAGCTGAATACTGGAATATATCTGATATAAATATACCAGTTAATAAAAACCTTCTGCTTCTATCCACCTCTGTTTAAAGTTTCTGTAAAAGTAATGAAGGTCAATTATTCTCATATGTGTTTTTGTTGACAGATGTTCTCTGTCTGAGTAATATCAACTGATAAAGGCTTTTTTTAACATTATAAACTAAAAAATGAGCGATAAATATACGATTCCTGCTGATATAATGTCAGGTCAATGCGGGTCATATCGGGACATCCCAGCCTGTAACCGCTGCCTATAGCCGATCGATGTGGTTGGGTCTGAAAACCTCGTAAGGTCAGGGCAGGTTTAATTAATAATTAATTAAATAACAAATTTAAATCTGTTCACGATTTTGTTTTTTTGAAAAGATAAAAACAAAAAAGACACAATTTTCTAAAAGCCAGAGGGGGAAAAAAATCACATCAGAAAAATGTATATATTATCCAGAAAAGTATGAAAATAAGGTAATTAGAAAAATGACAAAAAATGAATCTGGTCCATTGATTAAATCTGAAAAACCTTAAATTTGTCACCATTTGCTCAACTAAAATGCATTTTTTACTTCCTTTCAAACATAAACCATTTTCCACAAAAAGATCAGAAAGCCAATACAGATAATCTACTGGAACGTAATGGTGGCTAAAGGTGATTGTGTTCCCAGTTTGGTTTCATGGGGATTATTTAGGGGTAGCTATGCAGACATGCTAATTCTACACAACTATAATCTGTTTTAAGTGTTAAAACTGTCCTTAACCCTCTCCTGTCAGCCTGATATGCAGCATTGATAATGTAAATATTATTGTGATTTTATGTTACCCTAATGATTTGCTTTGTGTATTTTTTTGAACTGGGATCAATGGTTTATATTGAGATTAATTTAGACCTGCTGGCTGCCAGGCTGTGCTGCCATCTGCTGGAGGTCACAGGTAATACTAATAAGTCATCTTCCAATCATCTTTCTCATCAGCAGCTCATCCCCTGCACTGCTACTGTAATATGTCTAATATGCTGCTATATGCTTAGAGTGCTGGAGGACATAGAGACCTGTTTTTCATCATTCTGCTTCATTCTATCTCTATTCTCCCACTCTGCAGAATCTGTT